GTAGACAGTAGACAGCTTGTATACGTTCTCTAGGCTTAACTTAAAGTTCGAGTTGCACCATCTTGCTAAATTGTTATCCAAGCGTCTTTCGACTTAAACTTGCTCAAACTCTAACTCAGATGATTATGATTATGAGAGATGGACAAGACGTCTACTTTTGTGCAAACAATGTCAGAAACAATTGTTAGATTTTCTATCTAGATCTACCCAATGTTGATTGGAATAAGACAACGTCATAAAAAAGGAGTCAAATCCAAGGAGGTTTTATATTCATACCAGACAACATCACCGATAATTTTAACATGGTTAATCACCTGACAGTAGGACTTGACAATGTGACAAAACTGAAAGGCCCCCACTTTCAAACTCACATCTCTGCCATACATGTGAGGCATCGTGAAATCAGGCACTTGTCAAAATAGTGAAATCGAAGGAGCAGGCAATTTTCTGCTAGTGTTTGACAATTTTTATGAAAATTTTGTTTTTTGGCTCAACGCCTTTTATGTCCCTTCAATCGCAAATATTTTGACTTCTCCTTAAGATTAATGGGTATTGTTTTAATTGAAAGCAAGACAAAAATAATTAAGCTTTCAGATGGTACCAATAACCCCACATGCCCAAAATTCGAAGGCCTGATCCGACAGCGTCGTGACACATTTATTTTTAATTAAGCCTTCCTGAGGATTTTATTGCTTTTGTGTTTCTTTTCTGTATTCAATTGCCAGTTCAGTGATGTGTGGTTTGTGGTTTTATTTGTATAAATAAGGAATTTACGAGTATTTCTGATAACCTCCCAGATATCACGAAAATCTCAAAATTACTCTGCTTCTGAGGCAAAATAATGCCTATCCAAGGGTAATATACATAGTGTTCTCTTTTTTACCACACACCGTTACTTAATATTCATTTCCCATTGGTTTTCTGTGTTTATGTGATGTATTTTTGGCAAAATAACCTTTCAAATGATATTTTTCCAATTTTCAGGGGAGATAACCCAATAATTAAAAATTATTGTTTTGCTTCTAACTTGGCTATCTTTCTGTGAATTTTCATAAAAACCTGTACTTTAGTACATTTTAAATTACTTTTTCATATTACAAAGAGCTCAGGAAAGTTTTGGGCTTTGTTTGACAATTATAGAATACTATACTTCATTTTTTATTTTAACTGCAGGGTTATGTAACAAATTGAGTAATCTCTGTAAAAATCTTGGGTTTCCAGCTTTTTTTCTTCCTATGTAAGCTGTTTGGGTGTTCTTCGGTGGATTTTGAATATTGTTATGTTATATTTGTGTAGTTTATGTGATTTACAGAGTGATTTCAGTAAGCTTCTTCATTTAGTGAGAATCAGGGGGAGTTAACTTTGAAGGTCTCTTACGCACACTGCGATGAGCTGACGCTCATAAAATATGCACTTCTAGTATCCTGAAATGTTAAGCTTTCAAACAGTATATCATATGTCATGTTTTATAACACTTCATATTTGGTCAATTTTGGAAAATGCTGAGCACCCAAATTGTGAAACCTGCCTTATCTAAAAACTGAGAAAGCTTCCACAATTCAGGCAGAACTACAATATTATCATGTAGACACGATGGCTACTAGATCTACATCTAGATCTAGATTCTAGATCTAGTACTGGCATTTCAAATAACTCGGGAGCTATTCAGAACGCGGCGTTGCAAATAGCGCTTGCCATACTTTTATGATGACTAGACTGACAACAGCAAAAAATAGGCCTATTGAATTGTAAATGAAAATTTTTTTAGTTTGCAATACACCTAAAATATTTGTATGAAACGAAACCAAAAGATGCCTTACTGACAGTGCATATATATGTGCAGTGGAAACCTGATATAACAGGGATGGTGGGATCAGAGAAAAAGTCCAGTTTTATATCAGATCCCTGTTAAATCAGAAATGCAAGGGAAGTAAACATTTGTGGACTAATCCAGCTGTACTTAATCACGGGTAGTTTCCCTTACACACCGCAGCCCTCTCTCGTGGCCCTGTGGCAGACATGCGTCTGACACATTATGCGTGCGTGTAGCTAGGCGAAGTCTGCAGCACACTGCAGCCCTCTCTCGTTTCACCGGCTATGTGCGCTTGCAGTTGTAGTGGCGTGGGCTTAATTGCTCTATGTCTCTCTCTCTCTCTCTCTCTTTCTCTCTCTCTCTCTCTGTCTCTCTCTCTATCTCTCTCTCTATCTCTCTCTTACTTTTTACACACATTGTTAACTGAGTCTTTGTCCCTGCCACCGATTGGGCTCCGATGAGGCCCTGTTATTGCTGATTATAACCTTTAATAGAGATTTTAAAGAGTAGGAAAAAACAGGGATTTAAAATGTCCCTGCTATTGCCGGATTCGGGCCTGTATAATGGTTTCCACTGTATTTTAAACCTGACCTGAATAATTACTAGAATCTAATGAGACCTGTGTATTCAACACGAGTGGATAGCTAGAAAACGACAACTAAACGCCATTGGCTGATATTTTATAGTAACAGCCATGATCTTGTTTCCTTGCAAGGGGGATGCCCGCCGCATCATCTAATCGTAATTCTATAGTAGACTATAGCGATAATTTTGCGTTGCGCGTGGTGTGCACTGGCAGTTTCCAAGCTCCTTCAGCAGTTTGCACCTCTTTCATCCTTACACAAGCAGTTTCCAAGCCCCTCTATGTTTTAGTCTTACATGTGTCTTAGTAGTAAATCATCTGTGTTTGTGTGTGTGTGTGTAGTGTGTGCGCACGCGTACATTGTGTGCGGTTGTGTTGCCACCATGACTGACATGGGAATCTCTTAATGATGTCAAACAAGATGGCTATTACTATAAATATCAGCCAATTGTATTTAGTTATTGTTCTCTAGCTATCCGCTTGTGTACTCAACAGGTTTCTAATAGTAGTAATAGTGCCTAAAATAAGTACGGCTAGACTGGCTGGCTAGCCGTACTTAAGATGGCTGAATTGTAAAGAAAATTTTAGTTTGCAATCTAAAATATTTGTATTTCAGATCAAACCAAAAGGTATCTTACCGGCATGCATGTATTTTAAACCTGAATAATCACTAGATCTATGAGACAGGTTTCGGTCAATAGGGCCAAACCTAGATATCTAAGTATGGCTAGACTGGAGACTGTCAGGCTAGCTAGTACGGTTAGCCACTTCGGTATAAAAAGATGTCCTCAGACTCAGATGTGGCTAGTGGATGGCCGGTATAATATGATGCTATACTACCGTCTAGGATCTAGGCTATACTTAGCTTGACCTAGGGAGTGGGTATATGTGCCAATTAGTCGAAGAAAGTCGATAAGGGTAGATCTAGACCCCCCCAAAAAATCGCAACAAAAATGCAAGTTATGTATGGTCGACAGATAAAATCGGGAACGAAATTGTAAAATTGTTTAAGAATGCGTTAAAGGTTGACAAAAAAGCAAAACTTATATTACGACCAAATCGGTTTGTCATACACTTGCTTTGACGTGATAATTTTTACATACTTTTGTACGGATTTTCCGAAAATGAGGTACTCGTCATGGGTATCTTTACTTTTATGTCAACAAAGTAATGATTCATGCAAAAAGTATGGGAAGCCAATATTTAAAAAAGGTTTTCTCTCACACCCTCAGTCGGAGCTTTTCAGTGGATGTTTGTTTACCTTGTAAGTTTCATCTAGAGAATTGCCTCTTATGCAATTGACACAAGGTGTGAATGGTATTCTGGCAGTTGTACAACATAAAAAGAACAATACAGATGTGACTGAAGATTACCAAGTGCACATTTCCTGTCACCGATCTCACATTAGTGCAAAATCTTTTGCAAAACATAAAAAGTCTAGTCTCAGTCCAGGCAGCAATAACGGGCTGAAGTGCAAACTTTGGTTAAGTCTCCAAGAGTTCCAATTTAGCACCTGCTGAATTTTTTTTATGGTAAAAAAAAAACTTTGCTGTCAAACAAAGTCATAGGGACGTATAATGTCATAATGTCATTTGTGTGCAAACCGAGACCCAAAGTGAGGACACAATAAAGAGGACTTATGGATCATGACTATTCTCGGTTGTTTTTATTTTTAGTTGCAACTTCAAAATTTGCAGCCGCCATGTTCTGCTAATACGCCGTATATTATTCGTCCGACTGTGACTCATTGGCACTCGATTTACCCATAGCAACTTAAAAATTATAGTCAGTAAATTTGTGGTCTAGATCTAGCTTTTCTTCGAAGTTTTCAAGGCACTAAATTCATCCGATCGCCTTGTTTTCTAGATTTACATCTATTTTCACTTTCTTTGCCGCTTATTCCTAAAACAAAACTAAAAACAAGGTTCATCTATTTTAACAAACACAAAAATAGCCGTGACACTGGGGGTTTTTTTGTGGCTGTTTTTCTTTCTTCTCATCAATGAAGATTTCAGTGCTCGCTTTCTTTCCAATAAACTGCATCAAAACAAGCTAGCAAAAGTTTTTTCAAGCTACAAGCTACCTATTATTTTCAATAGAAACCTGGATAAGTGGTTCCGACTGGATTTTGTGCACTGGTATTTTGCCATCGGTGGATGGAAGCGCGCGGCAGCTACGAATATACTCATAGCTCGGGTGCAAGAGGTTAAAACAGTAGTGTTTGTCACTTTTAAGTCAAAATCTGTTGTGGGTTTCATCAGTGGTGGCCATATTTGGTCACATGACTTTGCATACATAACGCATTGTTTATCTTGTAGACCTTTACATAATCTTTCCGGAGATGTATGATTGTCATAGGTTTTGCAGGCAACTTTTGTTAAGTTGTTTTTTTCATGCCTCTTTTGGCACAATTTGGTGCCATCCTCTTGTATAAGTAATGCTGTAATTCACAACAATAAACTTGCATAACTTTTAAACCGTTTATCCAATCTTCATGCTGTTTTTAAAAAAATTTTTCTCAGCTCTTTTTTAGCCCTACCTTGGGACATGTATTGCCGTCTAATTAATGGTTTTCAATTTTTTTCATGAAACCCCTACTGCTAAGCTTTGTCTGCTTTTCATTTTTCTGCCACTACTACGTGATGCACTTTTAACCTATGTCATTTACTTTTTGCAGAATGAGGAAGTGAGCAATGGGCTCACTACACCAGGATACCAGTCCTCCAATTCTGGCAGACAAACGCATGACCAGTCCTCACGTAAGGGGAAAAAAGAGAAGAAAAAGCATAAGTGATTCTTGGTAAGTCCTTTTTATCTTCTTTTTTTAACTTCAAATTCTAATGCAGTACAGGCAAATTATACATGCTTGATTCAGTATCTAGGCTGGTAAAACTCAGTGTATATAGACCTACCCTGCTGCCATCCTAAGCAGAGTATTAACTTCTTGTCCGTTGTAATTGTCAAGTGTCAAATCATTAAGGAATGTTAAAAAGTAACATAAAAGAGTAGGGTATATTTAATTGGAATGCTTAGTTTGCTATCAAATGGAAACTTTTTGTGTGCGAATGTAATCATAGTAGTCTCAGGACCTTGGCAAAGTTGGATAAAGTTGGATGAGTAATTGAATTGAAAAAGTAACTTATCTTTGTTGATCTGCTCCTGTCATTTGTCATGATCCTTTCCTTTTTTTTTTCTCTTTTAAAATTGTATATCTGGATGACAATGACAAAAATATTGGAAACGCCTTCGCATACGCAAATATAAGGTAGAGAAACAAAAATAGCTTCTGAAAATAATTTTTTTTATTTACTCAGAGGAAATTGTAAGTTAGAAAAATGTGAAATTGTTTTTTCTTCTTCTGAAAAGACACAGATTTCTTCACTACCCTTGATATACAGCTACATATATAATTAAGAGTACATTCACGATTCTCAGACGGCATATATAGCACAATATGTGTGATGTTTCTTTTGAAATTTGGATTGCTAATCCCTATGTTGGCTTAATAAGAAAAAAAGGCAGTATAGGCTTCTATTGTGCACCAGTGAATGCAAGTGGTGCACAAAAACATGTCGTTGAAATAAAGTAGAGCCATAATAGTGCAAAAAACAGCAGTCAAAGTGTTGGAAGCCAGAAAGTTGTGATATGTTAAAAGAAGAATTTTCAGCCTGAAGAGACTGTTTTCTTTCATTGTTTACATGGTTAAACAAAGACTTTGCTTGATAAAGTTGATGTTCTTATGTGAGAGAAAGATCTTTACACCTGAAACTCTATTGCTGAGAAATAAATGTATGGAAGGCCTATTCATTTCCGTTTCTTATGCTGAAGTTCTCAGTTCACTTCTGTGTTTTATAAGCATGATCAATGCAGACCTTGGGTTTGTTTTCAGTTTTAGGCGATCGAGTCGGGCGATTAGCCCGATCCAGCCGTAGTGGGCACCCCGTATTAGACCCGAGAAAATACACAAAGTCCTCGAAACCAAATCTGAAAAACCTTCTAAGTTCATATTTTACTGGTCGCGTTTGTGATATTACGTTCGGCTTTCCCCAGTCCGAGAGTACGTTTCGCGCAAATGAGCGGCTATGGCGGCAGGCGGAAGACGTGTAATACTGAGACTCCTTTGGGAAAATCAAAATCTGCTTTCGTTACCGCTCAGAATTGTCCGATGATAGTTCGTTGACGTTAGATTTACAGTTAATAAAAATTTGTAACCTGCAGTTTGTGCTTAAAAAACCCACAGTGTAGCCATAAACATTAAATCGATATTCTCACTGATGTCACTATAATTACTAAAAAGGGAGAAAAAGAAAACACGCGTCCTCCAATTTCTAGATTGTCGGGCCCGTCATCGTGACGAGTCAATGAACCTGTGAGAGTTCGTGAGTACGGCACGAGCAAGGGACCGACCGGTGGTTGTTGGGGAAAGCTTAATCAAAGTTCATTCAAAGTAGGAGTGTAGCAGGGCGTCGGAATTGAGGGGAGGTGTTTGATGCAATAAAGTTTACGGCAGCAGGAAAAGGCCGCGGTGCAAGAAACTGATGCTAAAATAAAAACGATAAATGGAAGTGGTTTTGACATTCGACAATCGAGTGCGTAAATGAGGGAACATTAGAGCACAGGCTTGATGATTGTATCTTCAAGGTTGGTGTTCCCGGGTTTGTGGGATTTGTCAGTGATGACAAATTGAATAGTGGCAATGAGGAAATGCCATTTTCAACCCTCGGAAAGCTCTATGTTAGATGGCTATGCATCATGATGGCTTGTTGCTGATTAAATACTGGTACGTGTACTGTGATTTAGCATTTTGAAAAAAAAATCAATAGCCTACTTAGTCCATGATGCAGTGATTCACTGATTGCCAGGTTTTCAGCATCAATACATCCCACACTCTCACAGTCCTTCCAGCTCCGGCGATATCGGTACACGCTCTCTTTTATTTTCACTTTTTGCTCTGCCGTGAGCTTAGTTATAAAGGTTTTATGAATACGTTTTGTCTTGCATGCTTTTTAAAATCCGTGATTGCTGAAACCAAACATGGTTTTTGCAGTTGATGTTCTTCTTGCCTCTTCTCAGGCCCAGATCAGGATTCATTTGTTATTTTTAAAGTAAAAGTAGTTAAAATTAATTGTCTGTCATACCTAAGCCACTAAGGACTTATCAGTGTCCTATGCTAGTGTCGGGAAAATTATGTTTTAATATAGTTTCTATTGGTGTGGGCTAGGGGTTTTGAAGTTAGTTTGGCAATCACCCTGCACTCAATTCCAGATTCAATACTGAAGGATAGGTGCCTTGAACGTTAGTCCATAAATTGATTTTTTAAAAAGACAACCTCGCCTCACTTCATACACACTGTTCATCGTAACTTGTGCACACCTATACACCCCCTTCCTTTCCCACGCACATTATATAGGTACATGCGAGAACAAGGCAACATGCACACACAGACACACACACTCACACACATATGCATGTACAAACCAGTTTTCAAAATATAATTACCCAATATCACGGAAAGCAAGCGCGTTCGATGGGGCAACGATCATCTTTTTTTTTTCTTCTTTGTCTTTGTACTACCTGATTTTGGGCCAATCTACCTGAAAATGACCCTGAATCTACCTGAAATGGGAACTTTGAGGTAGGCAGCCCTGCTCTATATATACAGATCTGGTTTTTTTTTGTGGGGAAAAAAGATGATCAAGTAGCCAAACAGTGGGTGTTGGGCTGTACGCATTGTGTACCTTTGACGGTCAGTTGGCTGGCAGTATGGCGGGACAAATAAATAAGGACCGGACAACTCAGTCAGTTGGCAAATGGCAGTGTGAAGGCACAAATACTATGTTAATATAGGCGCTCCTTTTCGTACATTGACAAAACCTGGCAGTAGGCAGGGCTAGCGCTATAACAGGGGGTGGTACATCGAGGTTTGACTTTACTTTATTTGATGATTTCTCAATTTTTTAACAATAATTCTTCTTTTTTAAAAGTTTCACAGGTGTGCTCAGAGAGGTTCCTGGTGTGTGGAGGGAGTTTTGCAGAAAGATGCATCTGTCATGTAGTAGAGGTAGCTATGATCAGTTCCAGTTATCTGTTTCAGAAGTTTTTACACATTTATAGAATTGATTATCAACATTTGCAGTCAATGAAGAATCTGTTTTTGTCAATTCACACTATTAATGTTGGTTTCTGTAACTTTGTCATAAGTCGCGATGTGCTTATTTTACGGTAAATGAATACAAAGAATACTGCAGAACAAAATGTTCTTACCCTAGAATGTGAAAATTTTGCATTCATACACAGTCTCATGCAGTTAATACATGTCGGATGACTGAATTGATTTTTGCTTTTCTGCATAGTTTTTTTTTCAAGTGTTATTTTTACTGTCCATTTTGTCCATAATTTGTTTTTCTAAAATATTATAATTTTTCAAACGAAAAGCCTCTGTCATGAGATGCATTTATGTAATCATTATGCTCCAAACATTTCATAGGCCTTTGTTAAAAATTTTTCAAGATACAGTATTCTTTATAAGGCATGCCATGACAAAAACACAATTTTGATAAAAAATGCAAAAATTTTAAAATCAAATTTCAAAAACGTACTGCTTTCTTTTTGGCATTTCTCTCAAGCTTTATGTATATTTCCATACATAACAAACATCGGTAACATATTCCTCGAATATGATTTCTTATCAGAATCAACCAAAATATTTTTGCGGAGATATTTATCAATTATCACCAGACCAATAAATTTACCTGGTGTCTTTCCAGTCGATTGCCTTATATTACCACATAAATGTGACTCTTTTAATTGAAGAAATGTGAATCTTGTTATCTCATTCCATTGCTGTTTTCTTATAAAGAACATATCTTATAATATATATCATATAGTATCTTAATCATAGATTGAATGAAATCCTTCTTGTTTGAAATCTTTACATCATATGTAGACATGGTCTTGAAATGAAGGAAAAGGTTATGAAATTATTTTTTCACTTTCGTTGATGACAAATGAATTATCCATGAAAAGAAAAAAAGGAAAAATCTAACTGTGTTTTATAATCCAGTTGACTGGAAAGTTCATGCTTGAAATATTGATGACATTTATGAACTGTTGATAATCCATTCTAGTTTTGTATGAGAACGAATTATCCCTGTTCTGTAGAATTGTATGAAGGAATCAAATGTAAATTTTGTACCATTGTCAGCACTTTTGTATAAATTTGCCCCTTCTGCTATTCAGACTCATGGTCTCACTCTCTCTACGTTTCTGTCTTTTTCTTTCCCTCTGTCTGCTTCTCTTTACCGTATGATAATTGATTCGTGACATAAAAGGATAGAATGATTGGGTTTGAAGTCTTTGCTTATACTTGTTAATTTTTTAAAAACTCTTCTGAGTTGCCCTTTGTTGCTTTTTATGTTGAATGATCTTCAGACTGAGAAATGGAAAATGTCAATGAAAATAAGTTTTGCTTTCCTTTGAAGATGAATTGTGAATCCAAGAAAATGCTGACAAAATTGTCATCCTTAAAAATAAAACCCAAATAGCCAGAGGAATAGTATATAGTTTATCAACTTACACTTTCTCCTTTTATGTAGAAAATAGAAACAGGCTTGGAAGCGTTGTCCTGTGTCAAGATTTCAACCCAGGAGAGTCACCCATGAAAACAAAATCACTGCGTACGAGGTGAAATGTCTCCACAAAACTCCTAACATCAAAAAAAGACACAGGCAGAGAAATGAAGAAAAGTAAGAGCGACAATTGGCACTGAGTCCCGCCTGCATTTCATAGCTGTGTATAAAATGGTTTGGCTACCTGTTACGAGTGTCACATAGCCAGCCAGCCTTCAGACCTATAAAACCAAGTACTCAGGCTATAAAGGAAGAGGTAGACCACGCAAAAAGATGGATTGAGGGAGTCAAGGAAACCCTGAGAAATCACAATATCCCGATTGAAAGAGCTGCCGAGCTAGCATACAGTAGAAACCTTAAAAAGTAAAAGTAAAGTAAGTTGAGGCACAGCATTATGGTTAGACTTACTTGTTTTCAGCGCTGATGGGCTGAAAACAAACATATGGCTAGGCATGATTTCATTTCATTTATTATACTAGTAACTGAGCATGAATAGCTGATGAGAAGAATATGCTTCCACAAAAATGTTTCCATCATTTATCTTTTTTTTTTAACTTGATAAAAGAAAACGTGCCTAAATTTTTTTTAAAGTATGTGAAACATTACACTTCTGCACATGTATTGCTGTTCATTCAAGTTTCTCGCCCAGAATTCTGTAGCAACTGGTGTGAAACTGTCTTTCGACAAACTATGATTTATAAAAATATGTACTGTGTTCGTTATTTTGCACTAACTTTTCTTTTTTTGGAAAAAAAAATATTTGCTGATATTTGCTGGTCTTGTGAAAATGGATTTTTAAAGTATTCTACACTAACTTGCAATAAAAACATAGTTTTGACTCGATAAAGTTTATGAATGTCTTTCTCAAGCATACATTAAATTGAAAAATTTGTGCTTCTTTCACAGCATCTCATTCAATGTAAATAACATTTTGGAATGCCAGTTACTTGTTGTGATTTTAAATCTGATCATGATAAATTCAAAGATGATGGGTATGTTTTAATTCCATAATTTGTGGGTTTTTACAGCTGTGGTTTTGTCCCTTGTTGACTACCGAAGAAGCTGTGAACTTGAATAAATCATTTTTGCATGAAATGATCGTGATTAGCAGAAAATATACTGACGACAAACATTTTTGTTTCTGTTTCTTGGACAAATGCAGTCTCTTACAACAACTATTTGATAAGTCGAAGTGTCTTACTATGTTAAGAATGATGGTGTTGTTGCTAGGAAACAGACACAGTCTGTTTTGAGAAAGAAGATCGCAGAATTAATTTCTGTCTTAATTTATCAAACTTTTTGAGCAAAAGCCTATTTTTGTAGGTAGTCCTTTGTTGCCGAAGATGATGATGAAATCCTGCAGCTCATCTGAGGATGCGCATGTGGCTGTGCAGTCCGATCTTGGATGTATAATGTCTGTTGCAGTGGGGATACTGGAATGTTGTGTTTCAGGTGGTTGGATTATGTCTCTTCTCTCTTCTGATAGTCAGCTTCTCCCTGTAGTTGATATAGCTCAGTGAGAAATCAGGGTTTTCCATTTATTATGACAAATAAAAAGTCCATGTCACTGTGTAGAAATGAAGCTGCAAGAAAGGTTTATTTGTGTGAAGTTAATTTGCATAGAAAACCCATTCTGTCATGTTTTTATGCTTCTGGGGTTTATCTGTATCGTGAGGTTTCCAGTGTCTCTCATTTTTTGGTGAGACTTTTTTGTCCATTTTGATAGGGTGTACTGCCTGAGGTTGAAATCAGGACTAAGTACTGATGAATACATATGATTTTTAAAAAATAGGTACTACTGTGTGTAAGTTCTGGCCGAGCTTATTTCCCAGTTGAAGTTTTCATTTGTATGCAGTGTGCACCAAATAAGTACAATATAGTCACTGTGAAGTCAGTGCTTGGTTAATTCTTATATTATGCCATTGGCCCTGATTTTCTTAAAATTCTATACGATTTTGGATAGGGTCTCTCTTTACGTTATATCAATTGCATTCTCACCACTGGAGATTTTGGTCATTATACACATGAATAGCATGAATTTATCCTTGAAATACAGTTCACGCAATAGTGGTGTTCTTGAAAAACTCAATTGTTTATCAAGTGTAAATTGTACTGTCGTGTGGGATTTGTTGGTCTGTTCATCCTGCTTGAACACACATCAGGATACGTACTTTCATGTTATTTTTTATTTGTAAAATGACATTTATATTACATTACATATATCATCATTGGTCATCCGGCCTCATCATTCTTAGACCAATTAACAATAAACTTTTGATAATCATCCATGAACTTTGTTTTTCTTTATTTCAAGTTTTAAGAAAATATTTTTTGTCGATCTTCGTTAGTTGATTTGTTGTCCATGTCCATCCATGTGTCAGGATGTTCTGTTTGTCTTTTGTGAAATGGATTTCTGGGTACCATTTAGAAGGTCTACCATGATACAGTGGTCTTTCGTAAGTCTTGTCCAATTGAAACTGTCTACCGCAATCCAGGCGGTCTACCATTACTCCTGCCTGTTTGGCCTTGGGAACAGAGGTGTAGGCCTACGTGAATTACTGCACCAAAACATTTTTAAAACGACCAATGACAGTCCCAAGCCTATATAAACAAAGAGGGAAAAATTGTACAGTAGTCTCCGCCTTAACGCACCGTGACCGGGAGGGCTCCTTAGCGTGTGTTTATGGAGCGTGCGTTTATATGAACCTTTTCAAAGGGAGGCAGGGACGCAGTCATCTCATTGCCTTGATTATATTCTAGTGACCTCCCTTTGGGATGGGGTTCACTTTGGCTGATAATGTGACGACACGTGACTGTTTTGAGAAGGATTCCCCGACTGCAGTTAAGAATACAAAGACGTTGGGGGGCCAAAGACAGACTCAATGTAATGATATGCACCATAAAATGTCGGGAATAGATAGCCTAAGGAGGAAACTGTTAATGATAGTCATAGAGACGACGGCCCAGCCACGTGGCTTTCCAAGCGACCACCCCCGACCGTAAATTTATGGACGACATCAGAACCATAGATCTCTAGATCTACATTCAGACTTCAGAGAAACATTTCTCTTGTGATTTGTTGAACAAGAGCGTTATAAAGTTCTTCGAGCGCAGCTGATTAGACCTACTTGACTAATCTTTAGTCCTATAGAAAGGCCTATCTAGTGTTTTACAGCATCCACGCGTGTTGCGCATCATCATAGGCCTAGATCACGCCTCGGCCTAGATCTAAAGATCTAAATAAACATTACATGCAGTCACCCAAACACCAGTCAGAAACCTGCTCTCAAAACTGCATTTCCAGTGACCAATCAAAAATCATGTCAGTTCCCCCCCCCCCCCCCCCCCCCAACTCCCCAACATTTCATAGACCAGTCCTGACCTATGTGTCTGTGGAAAGTTGAGTGTGAAAATGCTGTCCATCACTCACTTTGTTCGGCGTGAGGGCCAGTCTCACCAAATATCCGGTTTTCTAGGCTTGCCGTAAGCTGTGCAGGTTGTAGTGAAAATTTTCCCTTGTCAAGCTTAACCGTAACCTGTCGGCGTGTTTCGCGGACCAGAGCGTGCGTTTAGAGGGAGTGAGCGTGCGTTTAACGTCTGAATTACAGTAGTCTCCGCCTAAGATCCCGCCGCTTACGATCCCGGTTCGCTTAAGATCCCGTTGTTTTAGGAAAACATAATTTTTACTATACAAAAGTCACCCCTAAGATCCCGCTCTGATGGTCTACATTCGGCTAAGATCCCGCATTTCAGATCATAATTTGCTAAACAAAACCCCGGGCGGGCACAGCCGATCAACCTAGAGTGAAAAGTTGAGATCAATAAACTGTCCGTCGCGTCAAAGATCAACCACTATCGTGAATGTGATCACATACACGTTGTAAAACTCGATGAAGCGATACAATGTTTGCCCCAGACGGGATCACACCGAGGTGTGAACTGACCGACACGTTTGTTTTCCCCACGCATTGCACTCACACCTGAGCTCGCCACCTAAACTTACATCACTCGCTGGGTGGGTAGGGCCTACACGTTCGCTCCAGGCAGGATCACATCGAACTGTGAACTCTTCCTTGACCATTGCAGCAGTTGTCTCTACTCCCGAATTTTCGAGACAGACTGAATTTTAATTGGTGGGTTCACAACGTAATGGTGTGTAACGACAAAGGTGGTTTGGAAGGGGGGGGGGGGGGGGACTCGGTCAGAGATGGAAAGCTATACATTTTTGACAGGTAAAGAGGAGGGGCAACTGGATAAGCGTAGATCTTGAGACTCATAATAGGATAATAAGTGAAAATGGCACGCCTCATGCCACTATGCACCGTGATAGGTCATCAAGGTTAACCACTCTTTGCTCGCCATACGCCATAAACCCACCAAGCGGTCACGTCAGTTCATTGTAGAGTGGAGGGAGACCATTTTACCGATTGTGAGCCTTAACATGGGTCACCATAGATTCTTCCCTGGGTTCATCGGTTAAGATCCCGGTTCGCCTAAGATCCCGCATTTCCTTGCTCCCAAGCACCGGGATCTTAGGCGGAGACTACTGTATATAGTAAAAATCCCGTCCGATGACGAAAGCGTGCGTTTGAGCGGAGCGTGTTTTTGTATGGCGTGCGTTTAGGCGGATACTACTGTAAACTGATTATTTTCATGATTCCCACCCAAGCCAATGTAAACTGGTAGACCGTCTAGTAGAACAGTTGTCGGACCGGTCCGCGATAGACCGTCAAGTTCCCCCACGGGCAGTGCCACTGACTGTAGTGTCATTTCTCGTTCAAGCACAGTAGAATTGTAAATGGGCTGATTCATGTCACGCTCATAACTGTGCCTGATCTACAACAGGGAACTGCTGCTTTTTCTTTCCTAATCCTTACTATTGTCATTTTCCTCTACTTCTTTTGTATGTTTGTCACTCTCTTGTGATCTGCTATTTCCGGGGTGCCTTGATAGTCAAAGCAGACCTTGTGCTGTTGAAGCTAGAGAGGTGAGCAGAGTAAGTCTGATTCCCTGTAAAGACTTCTCTGTTGACACCCACCCCTTGGCGCTCGTATGACCTTATGCAGTTGCGAGCGCCGTAAAACTCTCTACTTTAAAAAAAAAAAAAGAAAAAAAAAAGACCGTCAGGTAAACCAGAAACTTCACCGTAGAATGTCAACTTAACTGGAGCCAATTTTTGTTGGAACTTACTGTAGGAATCTCAGTCAAATGGTCCCGGGATCAGAACCCGCCAGCAATGGGAAGATTTTTCTTCTGTAAAATTCTGTCCTCTGTTTCTTCCTTTCTTGTTCTCTAGTTCTATTGTCATCTGCCTTTTTCTCCACCCTGTCACCCTCCCCCCCCCCCCCAACCACATACCCCTCTGTGCTCTTTTCTCCCTTACACTCACTGACTCTTTCTAAATGTGCCAATTCCACTGAGCTCCTTCTTGCTGCTGTCTTTCAGCAATACCCCTGCTCCTAGGAGGGAGGGTAGGTAAGATCGATTGGCACACCTGGCCTTCTCAGAAAAAGGCAAAACATTCGGAGGTCTCGTGTGCAAGTTGTGCACATTAAAGTTCCCTTGGTGGTTCTTGAATCGTATTATATAAATTAGTATTAGACTAACTCTCAGTAAGTAGAGTAGGCTTCGGTCACCACTCTGGAAAATTCAAAATTAATTTCTACCTTAAGTAAAAGTCAGTAAGTATAAAAATATGGCGAAGACTGCCTTTGAAATCGGAATGCCGCTGCCTGAAGGTGAAGGCAAAGAGCTCTATTAATTTAAAAAAAAAATCACACAGCTGTCCCCGTAGGATTATGCGATTGTGCGGCCGCGTTTTTTTTCGCGTAATTCTGCACATATGCATAAATTTGGATTCCCCGCGTTTTTTCACGTTTTTTTTCCCTTAAAAAAAACAAAAAAACAATTAATTTTATAAATTAACGCCTCGCCATGTGACTAAAGGGAAATAATAACCGTAATAAGTCTTATTTAAGTGAAAAGTTTGTTATTTCCCTTGGTAGAAGATCTTGGTTATGGTTTGGGATTTTGTTCCTTGAGCATGTTCAATTTTCCAATCCATCAAAAGTTGTTGTTCTCATGTCTGCTGATGCTTCATGTTTGACAGGTGTTCCTGGTTTTAGTAATGTGCCAGCATCAGAGGTCCAGATGTCCTTTTTTTTTTTTTTTTTCTTTCCCAGATCTAGAGATCTAGATCTAGATCTAGATCTATAGCTGAAAGTTACAGAGATTATATTTTTTAGTTTTTTTTTTTTTCCAGATGTGTATTGTTTTCTTTCCAAATACACTACAAATTCCTGATACTGATATGTTCTGTTAAAAATTTTTCTGTACTTAAAACATAAAAGTCATGAAAATTTGTGTTGAAAAAGTGCAAAACATGCCGCGAAAGGTGTTACGGTAACTTGCATAATTTTTGCATAATTTGGCATTTTTGGGCATAATTTGGCCATCTAAATTCGCATAATTCTACGGGGACAGACATAGATCAACGTAAAAATCAGTTGCACTCCAGATTGAAGAGCCAGCAGTTAACTACTCCTGAAGTCTAGCAGGGGAACGCAAAGAAGAAGTAGACTGTATGAATCAGTTATTGTGACTTCTTCATTTGCTCCAAAAGTAGCTGTCAAGCGCAAAAATTGGTTGAAAGTACATCGTTGCTAAATTACTTCTTTTGATCCCTCTCTCTGCAAGAAAAATGTTTGGGTTACTAAATCAGTTTTTTTAAAAAAGATATATTTTATTGTTTTAACTTGAAATAAATGCAAATAAAGTGGTGCTGTTTGCTCAGAGGGCAGAGATCGAGATGTTTGAGAGGGACAGTGAGAACTTGCAATATTATTTCAGTATAGTAGGTACCGGTATGTAGGTGTCGGTTTAGTGGTTTGTCTTTTGGGAATTTGATTTCTGGGTGCCAGTTTAGTTGATTGTGTACTGTGATATATGGCAGTATTTTATTAGTTCTGCCCGATCGACCACGGTCTATGCTGCAGAAACATTCTCGGCTTCCCAGGAAGCATACTAGTGCAAACAGCTGATTAAGCGCGCAAACCACAATAAACCGACAAGATATTTCGCTGTCTATAGCAGGGTACCATTCCCATCTGGATGAACTGAGGAACATTCATATGAAGTGTCATTCTCGAAGACACAACGTTGGGCCACTAGCGGGTTTCAAAGCCACGACCTGTACGGTTGAAGGAGACGATACTGCTCAGACCGACTTCTGCCACATGTTCCCTTTACCAAAAGCATGCTTCTGCAGTACATGATGTAATCTATTTCGGACAACTACTCGTGTAAGAGACATAAAAGTTTTATACAGAAATCTCCATAATCTTTTTAAAGGCAGCTGAAGGAAGTCGCTTCAACATGGAAAAAAAACCAACAACTTTTTTTGGTCCTCGGTAAGAATTAATTCAGAAAGAGAACGATTCAATGAGGTTTCACTCAGGTTTCCCAGACTCAACTTGCCTGAGGAGAGTGTTTTTAAAGTTAAACTGAGTTTTTGTCTTCTACAAGTTTCAAATTATAGCAAATAGATATATAAAACATTACAATACATTGTATAAGTCAAATTTAATTCATTTTGTGTAACGTCTATCGGACCTTGGAGTAACTGGTCTTTTCTGGGATTTTAAAAACATCTCTCTCTCTCTCCATTCTTCTTCTTTTTAAAGTCATCAGTTCATTTTTAAAAGAAATACTATAGAAATAAAAGTTCCAGCAAAGTGGTCCATTCTTTCTGACTCTCGTTATTTTGACACTCATCCATCTCCCCCCGCTCTCTCTCTTCCACCCCACCCCTCCCCCCCCTCTGTCTGTCTGTCTGTCTGTCTGTCTGTCTGTCTGTCTGTCTGTCTGTCTGTCTGTCTGTCTGTCTGTCTGTCTGTCTGTCTGTCTGTCTGTCTGTCTGTCTGTCTGTCTGTCTGTCTGTCTGTCTGTCTGTCTCTCTCTCTCTCTCTCTCTCTCTCTCTCTCTCTCTTCTCTCTCTCTGTCTCTGTCTCTGTCTGTCTCTCTCTCTCTGTCTGTCTCTCTCTCTCTCCCCCCTTTCTCTCTCTCCCCCCCCCCCTCTTCCTCTCTCAGCAAAGTTGTCCATCCTTTCTGTCCCTCCTGATTTTGACACTCATCCATCTCCCCCACCGATCTCCCGCTCCCCCCCCTCTCTCTCTCCCCCTCCCCCTCGCCCTCTCTCTCTCCCCCCCCCCTCTCTCTCTCTCTCTCTCTCTCTCTCTCTCTCTCTCTCTCTGTCTGTCTGTCTCTCTCTTTCACCCTCCTCTCTCTTTCTCTCACTGAGTCTCTGTCCGTCTCTCTCAGACAATATACAATATCGTGCAGGTAGGACACAACCCTCACCTCCAACTCTAAACGTTGGTACCTGCATGTATCAGCTATTTATGTTGATATTGAAAGTGCCCTGAAACTCTCCGTGACTGGCGACCTGCCTTCCTCATTTGATACCTCTTTCCACGTCCAGTATAATTATCTTTCTCTCACCTTTTCTAGAATAAATCTACAAAGTAACAAAGACAGTTAATTTTCTTCTTTTTTTAAATTCAGACTGAAACACTGATGTTTCGCCCTCACCAGTAGTGTAGGTTGTCCCTCAAAAGTATTTCGAACTGAAATTTGGCCTCCGGTCTTATTAGGCCTTATAGGCCCTATATATTTGTAGGCCTACTTTATAAGGTTGTGCATCTTTGTAAAAATTAGAAACAATAATAGTCCTTGCAAAGTTTTTCTACTACTACTGGTATATAATATTTGGTCTGGGGGCTCTCGGGTCTGGAGGTTACGGTACGGTGTTCACCTCTCATTCGATAGGTTCCGGGTTTGAAACCGGAAAGCAACGGAGAATTTGATTCCCTAAAAATTTCTCCTGTCACCTCCTTTCCTGCTCTCTAATTATGTTCCGCTCCGTTCTCTGTTTTGTCCCCCCCCCTCTCCTCGACTGAGCTCTGCCCACTGACCTAAGTATCATTTTAGTTTTAGGTCAGTGGCTCGAACCTGACCATTTCTGCTGCCTTTGCTGCACTCCTTGGCTCCTACTTACTGCTGTCTTTCAGCTACACTCCTCCTGACTTTATGGTAGGTAAGATCTAACACCTTGCCCTCTCGGATAAGGGCGAAAAATCTCCGAGATCCCGTGTGCAAGTTGCGCGTGTTAAAGATCCCTTCTTGGTGTACAAACATCGATAAGAGTAAGCTTTGGTCACTAGACAAAATTCAAAATTAATGCTTTCCAAACTCAAAATGTTTAATGTGTCCCATGAGCTAATATGACCTTATCCTATGCAGTTGCGAGCGCCGTAAAACACTTACCAAAAGAAACAAACAATAATCTCAGAACTTGTACAACAATTTGGTGGTTTGTAACAATTTCCAAAAGTGTGTACCATAACTAAAGGAATCATTCCGTATTTTGGAACATGTGACTTCCGATTTGTATTTTCCTTCACTGCTTGCTTGGTTGAGACAAGGAACTGGGTGTTCAGATGAACGAAAAAACATAAACTTAAATTATCCTGAATAGTTTGTAATTCTCTGGTGTCTATTCCCATGAAATTGCCGTGATTTTGTATCGTATTGTAAGTATCCAATTGTCTTTGAATTTTTGTACAATCTACAGAGCGAGTTGTTGGCCAACCAGTTAGAATCTAAATCGGTGATCTTGTAGTTCCGTTCGTTTAAGTCCACGACCCATTTGTTTACATCCAGAGAAGAAATCCAGAAGTCTTGATGACCAAATACTCTTTGAAATAGGCTGCACAAAGAGCAGGGATGCAACCTAACTTTAAAACATCACATTAGGAAAACATTCACGGGGGCATGCCCCCCTGAACCCCCCAACCTCCATATTTTTATCGAGGCCACCTCTATTCTCACCCGGGGTGAGAATAGTGCAGGCGGGTCTTGTGGCTATTCTCACCCGGTGCGCGTGTCAACAAATTTTGCGTTCACCCTAAACCACAGAATTCTACACTGTGATAAGAGAAAAATTGTAGAATTCTGTGCTGTGAACAAACGTTCCATTACAACTGTACTTGTAGCCTACTAAAAGCGTACAATTTTGTCTGTGGGCAGGGGAGAGAGAGAGAGTGAGAGAGAGAACAAAACAAAATGGCGACCCGCGTAGTTCGGCTCGATTCGAAAAGTTAAATAGCCGTAGCATCTTTGTAGACAACCAAATTAATTTACTTTTGTGTTTTAACATCATTTTTTAACTTTGTTTTGGTCAATTTGATCGTCCACACCGATAGACAGTATTCAGAAAGAGACAGAGAGAGAGAGGAGAGGGGAGGAGTAGATCTTGCGAGAACTTCCGGGTGGGTGAGAATAGCCACTTTCTTTTATCGAAGTGACTATTTCTCCGAAAGTTCGGAGAAATAGTGCCGATCTTTATTTCTCCGAACGGTTTCCGGCTTCCGGTCTCGTGATTTTTGGCCTATTTATTGCCAGAGTTCGGCGCCAACTTTCATTCTGCCTCTGGTCTGGGAAGGAGCACCGCATGGCAAGCCCGCCTACAGACAACCTTCAGTAACACCCACCACACACCCACCACCATCATGCACATGTACACACACTAACTAAACATGACCAGTGGGCAACTTTTGAACGTATGACGAGCTGAGCTGTGGATGGAGAGACAGTGTGAGTGAAAGAGCGGGTGAAAGGAAGAATGTGCGAGTGTATCCACAGGCGACAGCAACTACAAGACGACGACACCGACCTCCCTGGCCTGGTCCACAGCTCACGAACGAAAGGAATGCAGCTCAGGCAGTGTTTTGCCTATTATTGTCCATGGTTCGCAGCGTGCAAGGGAATGAGTGAGATTTTCTTTGTGTGTGCCTGGAGGGAGGGGGTGGGGTATGAAAGTCATGCGGACGGGGATGAGCCGCGGGAGAGAACAGGGGAATTAAATGAATGCGTGAAACTGAAAGAGACGAACGACTCATGAGCCATGGAGTGAATGGATCCTGTGTTTCTATTTTTGTATACTTTGAACTGTTACCGAATAAAGGCTGAAATAAAGGCCAAAAAACAAACACACACACACACACACTCCTCACTCTCCACTTACAACCACACACAGACACACTCATACACGCACACACACACACACACACACACACACACACACACACACACACACACACACAGGAGCAAATTTTTGGGTCTATATCTATTTAATTTTCAAGAGCTAGTCTAGAGATTTTTAGATGAGTGTAAAAACGTGAAAAAGAAAGGTTTCACAACAGAATGAAATTAAAATTAGAACAGCCCACAAACAACAACAAACATTAATAAATAAGGGCGTGTGTCCACCTGTCCGAAGAAAATTTGCTGTTTTAACCCTAAATGTGCGTAATAAAAAAAAAAAAAGTACAGGATATTAGCCTACATGTAAATTATGGAATAACACACATTAAGGGGCTTGCCAGTGTCAGTACATTGGTCGCAGCAGTGACAAACGCAGATGCCAGTTCTATGTGTTGTTATCAATAACCAGAGCTGTTAAAGTACTTTTTAAAAAGTACTTAAGTACAAATTTAAGTACAATCTAAAAAATGTACTTAAGTACGGTAAAAGTACTTTCCTATAAAATGTACTTGAGTACAAGTACTTTAAAAAAAAGTACTTACGAGTACATTTTAAGTACTTTCTGCTTATATGCTAAAACACTTCAGCGCTTATGCAAAACATCATATTTTATAACTTATCCAGTATATTTGACAAATTAGGCTATTTATTACTAAAAATGTAAACAGTATACAAAGCATTTGAATATACAATGTACGCACTGAACGGTGGAAATGGTCCGTGAAGTTGAACAAAAAACAACCCAAACGAACAGACGCAACTAGTGGGTAAGTGCTATTATGAATAGAACTTGTTTGAGCAAGACAATGTGATCAAATGTAAGTCAGTCCTAGAGGTTGGAAAGCTCTACAGAAAGAGTATCCAAATTGAAAAATGTAGATACAAAGTTGCTCTTAAGAAAACATAAAATTGATGAAAATGGCCCGCATAGAAATGGAAAAGTGCATTGAATTCTTCATTAACAAATCCTCAAGGAATCAATGTAGCCTTTAGCAAAAACCACCCAAAAAAAGTTTAAAAGAAATTTAGACAGCCTAAAAATTGTTAGATACACATTGAGAACACAGTTTCAGTTTCAATTGATTATAGTGGTCTGACAGATTTTGGTCACACTGTGTAGTCCACGGCGCCAACGGCAAACCAAAATACAATAGTTTCCTAGAGTCTAGTAAGTGTAGTGTAACCTAAGATTCTCTACTGCAGTAGTCTCCGCCTAAGATCCCAGTGCTCGGAAGCAAGGAAAATATGGGATCTTAGCCAATGAAGCCAAGGAAGAATCTACAGTGACCCATGAACTGACGTGACCCCTGGGTGGATTTATGACATATGGCAAGCAAAGAGTGGTCAACCTTGATTACCAATCACAGTGGCATGAGGCATGCCATAAATAATATTATACACACTCATTAGCCTATCGTGAGTCTTGAGATCTTTATCTACGTTTATCCAGTTGCCCCTCCCCTTTACCTGTCCAACAATTTTAGCTTTCCAACTCTGATTGAGTCCCCCCCCCCCCCACCTCCTTTGTCGTTACGCACCATTACGATGTGACCACACTAATTAAAATTCAGGTTGTCTCGCAAATTCGGGAAAAACTGCTTTCAATGGTCAGGGAAGAGTTCACAGTTTGATGTGATCCCGCCTGGAGCGAACTTGTAGGCCCTACCCACCCAGGGAGTGATGTAAGTTTAGGTGGTGAGGTCAGATGCGAGTGCGATGTTTGGGGAAAAGAAACGCATCGGTCAGTTCACACCTTGGTGTGATCCCGTCTGGAGCAAACACTGTACCGTTTCATGGAGTTTTACAACACTTGTGATCACATTCATGATAGTGGCTGATCTTTGAGGCGACGGGCCGTTCTTTGATCTCAACTTTTAACTCTTGGCGGTTGATCGGGTTTTTGTTCCGTAAATTATGATCAGAAATGCCTGCACTTACCCTTTCATTAAGCTACCAAAGTACTCAAAATGTACTTAAAAAGTACTCAAAAGTACTTTTATAAAAAGTATCGGAGTACAGTAAAAGTACTGGTTTCAAAAATGTACCGGAGTACAGTAAAAGTACCGAAAATTGTAACGTAAGTACAAGTACCGGAGTACTTGTACTCCGTTACTACCAGCTCTGTCAATAACCCTCCGTAGATCTAGATCTAGATCTAGACAGCACACGAGTGAACACAACACATTACGTTTAAGAGCAGCACCCTTCATAGGCAACACGTCATATATCTGTAGCGAAAAACTGTTTGGAGTTGTAGCATTTCTTTATATAAATATTTACTGCGGACATTTTTTGGACCGATCGGACCAAATTGTAAACGAACAATCTTTGGTAGGCCTATACTTTAATTATAGATCTTTATAATATCCGAAATTTGCGGGAAAGGATGTGATTTCAGAGTGTTCGGAGAAATAATGCCCAGCTTTATTTTCCCGAACGTTCGGAGAAATAGTGCCTAGCTTTATTTTCCCGAACGTTCGGAGAAATAGTGCCCAGCTTTATTTCCCCGAACGTTCGGAGAAATAGTGCCGGCCTATTTTTATTAGGTCAGGGGGGCAAGCCCACCTGAAACCCCCCATCCATCTCTAGACTTTAACGAACGAAACTACAAAATCGCCTCTAAATCTAGTCTAGCTCTAGATCTAGATCATATCTAGATCTAGATCTAGATCTAGATTCCTAGATCTATAAATATATAATCTAGATCTAGTATCATGTTGGAGTAGGAGGAGTGGTGAGGAGATCAAAGCCAGAACCCCTCCGTTGACATATTCGCGCCAGTTACAGTCCACAAAAACCAGTAGATCTAGATCTAGAGACAGATCAGTAGGCCTACAGATCAGGGCATTCTTCTTATTTGGGAAATTCTATTGACAATTGACTTTTTTTTGTTGGATTTGGTTACGAGCCTAGGGATTATAATCCGGTTTTGGCCCCAACGATTAACTCGGTGACTCCGTCACTTCGTTACACTTACACAAGCGAATAGTCCGCATAGGCTACGCCATTGACCGATATTTATAGTAACTGCCATCTTGTTTGTGTCTTAAAATAGTGTTCTTCATTCTGACAAAAGACAAAAGAAGTTCCAGACCTGATCTACTGTCTCATTGTTTGATCTCGCAGTGAAGCCGTACTTATTCTTAATGATGGCTAGACTGACCATTTCCAAAAAATAGGCCTACTGAATTGTAAATATACATTATTAGTGTGCAGTACCTAAAGTATTTGTATTTGAGATGAAACCAGGTGCCTTTATGACAGTGCATGTATTTTAAACCCCCTGTTTTCTAATGTTATTAGGGCCTAAGATATGTACGGCTAGAGTGGCAGTCTAGCCGTACTTAAGTACGGCTAGACTTTTTGGCTAGCCGTACTTAAGTACGGGTAGACAGCCAGGCTAGCCGTACTTAAGGACGGGTAGACAGCCAGGCTAGCCGTACTTAAGGACGGCTAGACTGTTAGGCTAGCCGTACTTAATATTGATAGCTGAATTGTAAATGAAATTTTTAGTTTGCAATGCCTAAAGTTGTATTTCAGACAAAACCAAAAGGTGCCTTACTGACCTGCATGTATTTGAACTTGAATAATTTCTAGATCTAGATCTAATGAGACCTGTGTACTTAACAGGCTTGAGTCGATAGGGCCAAACCTAGATCTAAGTACGGCTAGACTGGCAGTCTAGCTGTACTTAAGTACGGCTAGACTAAGTACGGCTAGCCACTTCGAAAAAAAAAGGCTGCGGTTATTGGTACAATAGTGAGTACAGCTCTAACTAGTTATTAGTACAATTGTACTAATAACCAGACAGAGTTATAATTTGTACAATTCTTCGAATTTTGGAGGTTGTTGGTAAAAATAAGCCTAGATCACTAGGTCTAGTCATCCAGTTGGTTCTCCCCTGGGTTGAGCATCAATGTAATAACTTAAACCAGGCCTAAGTTGGTAGGCCTAAAAGGAAAAGTAGGCTAGATCTATACTTCTATTAAAATATAAGTGGATCTAATTATGACTAGATCTAGATTTATGTTTCTTTGTTTTTACACAAAACCAAGTGTGGAAATCTTTGAAGTCAAAACAAACAATTATGGGAAAAAAATTGTTGGTCAGTCGGGGGAGGAGAGAGAAGAAGAAGAAAAAAAAAGACAAAAAAAAACAACAACTTCCGGAACCGGGATTCGAACCCACACTCATAATATAATACTTCTTCAAACGCAGGCACGCTGTCATTACGGCCATCAGAACTATCAGCAGAAGGAGGTAGATTAAGCTTAAATATTTTTACACCACAATTTAATGCAATACGTATTTCTAGATCTATCTGTCTAGATCTAGACTTAGTTTTTTTTTTTACATGAGGCATGAGGGGAACACCACCATCAATGAGGCGGCTGGCATCAGCTCATCTGACGAAAAATTTAAAAATTTCAGTTTGTGGAATATTGGAAACACTGATCTAGAATCTCTAGGTTTATATATCTAGATTTTTAGATCTACTAAGACAGAACATGTAGGTAGTAGGCCTGTGGGCATGCAGGCCTACTATTGTACGGATACCTGCAGCACGTCGTACAATTGTGCGTACAACGTTGTACGGATAACTAGACAGAGTTGTTCGCACAATTGTACGGATAACCACTCCGAAAAAAAAAGTGAAATAAAAAAAGAAAGTTTTTTTTTCGTTTTAACAAAGTGTTATGATAATGCTCATTATATTATGTATGTTAAAGAAAAGGTCAAACAAGATGGCTGTTACTATAAATATCGACCAATTACGTAGCCTACTCCTAACGTTCTCTAACTATCCGCTTGTTTTCGTTACACGGTCATTTCATCTCACCGGTGCATTCAAGACATCACAGCCATCTCGTCATACCCCAACCCTAAATCCACATGGTTGAATGGAGATAGTCATTTCGTCACACACTTGCAAACATCAAATGCGCATTGTCATGGAAATCGCAAATCATGATTCCTTGGGGAGGGTTGGATGGTGTGTCGAAGGACATGGGAGGGGGGAGTGCAAGTTGTCGAGCTTGGGTGAGTTTTGTTGTTGGTTTTATTTGTGGGGGGGGGGAGGGACAGTTTTAGGCTTAAATTACTTTAAAAAACAAGAGGGCACGGCTCAATGATTATGTTTTGGAATTTGGGATTTAGAATAAAGACTGCTGGCACTGATCCTCCAAAACTCTACTAGATTTTGGAGAGATCAGCAAAGTCATTTCGTCACACTTAATTGGGGTGTGACGAGATGCCCGTGTGAAGAAATGACTGGTTTCCCGTTTAACTATGGAATGTGGGTTTTGACTCCACCGACGATTACTTCTGGTTCTGAACGATTACTTTTTGACGTGCTTGCCAACATGATGTTGGATGCGCGCCGAGATATATTTTAAAAATTAGGTCAAGGGGTCAGAAACCCCCCTTGTTAAAAACAAGTGAAATGTCACTGCTTATTTTGTACTATAAAATTAGCGCGTCTCTTGCTCTCTTTCGTATAAAACAAGGATGCCGAATATTTTAGTCAGTATCCATATCCAGTTCTCTTGAGGCCAAAATCGGAGAATGCCGGTGTAAATAATGGTTAGGATGAGGAATAGCCCTATTTAACTGCCCTACTAACTCTTTCAAACCCTCTATTCCTACCCATATCCATATATTTTATTATTAACCTTCCCATAAAGACCCACACCCAAAGCCAGCAGATCATCACATATTTGCATTTTATGAGTGTATGAATTACGAGGTTAAGCCTAAATTGGAACTTTCCAAACGTGAGAAAATTGTCAAGTTCAGAACAGACAGGGACCAGAGTCTGAAACTGAATCTAGTCCAAATGTAAAGAACCTAAAATCTTTAGATTTGGAAATGTTGGAGAGGGACTCCATCCTATTCTACTGTGATGTGGTTTTGGTCTTCAGATTCTAACTAGATGCTCTATTCTCAGAATTCAATATACTATCTTTGCCACTTTGTCTAAATAGAAGCAGCAGATGATCTTTAAAATTTTTTCAGCATCAAATGTATTTTCTTTGCTTTAACTTTAACTTTAAATTGGGGGCTCTTGTGGTGTAGAGGTACAGTGTTCACATCTCTTTCAGCAGGTCCAGGGTTCGATACCTGACAGATAGAAACTTTTTTTCTCCATAATACTGTCTTCTTCCGCCCTCCTTCCATGTTCTCTAGTCACTGTCATTCTGCTTTGCATGTAAGTTTTGACACGGGGGTCGTACTTATGTAAAAATGCATGTTGAGCCAGTGAACGTGCATTAGGCTGACACAGTGCCTCAACAGTGAGGGGAGTCTTCTTCTTCTTCCTCGTTCTCGATGACAGCAGCTAGTCACTCAGTCCGATGTCGCGTACAAACTGTGTAGTTCGCTTCAACTCTGAAAGACCTCCATAGAGTTTTCTTTCAAGGGGAGCCACATTCTGCCACGTCTGTGCGCGAAGGGTGGCGTAGCGCGGCCAGTGCTGAAGGATATGGTTGGCATCCTCTTGGTCGTGTCAACATTCACAGGTTGCTGTTTCTTCCACTTTTAATTTGGTGTGCATATGGTGTTTGAGTCTGTTGTGGCCACAACGGAGTCTAAAGATTGTGACCTGGTCTGCTCTATTTAGTATGTGGTAGGGGTCATGTCTGTTGTGCTTAGGGTTGGGCCTTTTCCACCTGTTTCTTAAAGCAGTTTTTATTAGTGTTTTTGACTCTGAGAGATCCATGCCATCTTCAATCTGGGTCATTTTGGCTCCTTCTTTGGCTAAGCCGTCTGCTTTTTCATTTCCATGAATGCCACAGTGACCTGGTATCCACTGCAGAGTTGTGTTGGCTTGGGAGTTTAGATCACTCAGGATTGAAAGGAGTTGTTGTACTTGGGCTGTTTGTGGCTTTTGGGTGAGGGGAGTGATAGCAGTTGTTGTGAGTGACATCCCAATGTGACTCTTTTCCAGGTACCACACGGTTTTCCCCTTGATTTTTTACCCTGTGGATTTCAATCCAACTCTGTCTTTGTCATGCAGCCGCCTGATTTCCTTACAGTATGTCCAATCCATCGCCACTGCCTCTGCCCACCCTATCTCTGATAATACACAGACGTACGCAAAACTAATTAGATATGCAGAAGTGAAAAAAAATTATTATAGTATTCGTTCGATCTATAAAGATGGTCTTTCAAATGGTATTCTTAAATTATTGATGTCAGTTGATGACCACAGCTGTCCTGTGATGGAATGTATGGGATCAGCGAATCCTTTATATGGTGGTGCAATACCATTTGAACATTAATGACAAAGGATGGTCAGTTTATATTTTAGAGATGATAATCAGGGATGGGACCAACAGCCAACTAACACTTGTTTGCTGCAAGCGAAGTAATGTGACTTTAGGAATGACCTTAATTGCTGCACAGAGGAGATGTTGCATTTTGCTAAGAAAGGTCAACCTACTAACAACAGTTCTATGAAAAGGGATAAATCATGTTTTTATTTTATTTGTAAAAAAGAGAGTCAATCGTGAAGTTTGTCTCATCTTGCTAGAAACGATTGTATCCATTTTGGCCAGATTTCAAAGATGATGTTTGTTGTGTTTTGCCATGAAATTATGTCCTTATCAAGTCTGAAAATCACAAAAAAGATGAACACTGTAACTTAGGAATTGGAGACCTTTTTAGAACAGGCGGCCATCAATTTCATGATGGAATGCAACATTCTCTAACTCAAACTTTATTTTAAATTAATAATAGATAATTGAATGTGAATGTTTGAAAAATTACCAAGAGAAGCAAGTATTAGAATGAAAGAGTTACCTTTGTCATTATCAAGTTCTTTCCCTTTGACTATCAAATGGAACTTTTTGTTGCTTGAGAGCGATTTTTAGACCAGTCGTAACAACTAGATTACTTCATCAATTATTTTTTTTAGAAACTGTTGTTATGAGAATCCTTCTTTGTGGTACCTTTACAAAATGTTGCAAAATTATGTTGGTGGAAATGGTCCTTAGAATTGAAAATATTACTTACGTAATTTAGTTTTCACACTGATTTTTATCTTCTTTTATGTTTTGTTTTTGTGACCTATAGCCTGTAGGGAATTTTGATTATATTTGTATGTGGTATATTACAGGCAAACATATTTTCCCAATCAGTAATGAATATCTTTTTGTACAGAGTGATACCAAACATTTACAACAAATAATGCCTGTGCTAGACAATCAAAATGTTTTGAAAACATGAATAATTCATATGATTGCAAAGTGTTAATGATAATGGTTTTTGCTTTTTATTTATGTCTCTGCCATGTGGAATTATCGATTTTTGAAATTTTTCATTGAATCCATCTTGCTTTGTTATAATACCCGTCTAATGAGTTATTTCTCTTTGCCTTTACTCAGAAAATGTTGAGCCATACTTTATGTGTACTGTTGATTTTTTTTCCTCAGATACTCAAGGCCATGTAGTGACTGAAAGAGTCCCGTACTTTAGTGAATGATTTCTCTACAATGTCTGTTGTTGAGGAGAAAACAGGTAGTGTCAGTAGCTCATGCAACAGCATGAAGGAGACTCCTGCTTTTCCTACCTCTGGCAAATCATCAGCAAATGTGAAGGCAGATTGTAATGATCTAGCCAACTCTAATCATGTTAGCGGGGGAACTAGAGACAGTGACTTGTGCCCCAATGGTCAGCATGATGACATGTCTGAACAAGATATTCTTTCTCCAGACATTTCATTATCATCGCAAACAACACTTAGATACTCTGATGTGGAACCTGAGTTAAAAGAGCATGACAAATCTCATGAAAGCTCAGACTCTATTGAAACACTGGAGGATCTCCCAGCTGAGGATTCACATATTGAAATTAATCAAAAGTTTTTGCAGCATCTGACTTTGACTCAGAATGTAAGTGGAAGCAGCTTAGATTCTTTTGGAAAAACTTCTTCGAGTGAACAAGCTCCAAATATATCATCTCTCTCTGATGATAATGCTTCTAGTGACAGCCATGAAGTTATTCCTGAATTCAGTAGCATTCCCCGGCCTGAAAGTCTTTCACTGCCTCGTCCTCTCCAAACAATTGACCGTGACAGAGTCAGGTCAAGGTCAGAAAATAGCAACAGCAGTCAGAAGAGCACAAGTTCTCACAATAAACTTTCTGACGACCCAAGTTGTTCAGAAGCAGCCGCATCATCCTCCATGGACAAATCTGCCCCTTTAGAAGAACGGGGTGCCCATTTCATAGAAGACCCAGGAGTTTCTTTCATGGAGCCCAGTGGTCTTTCGCAGGGACTGCCCCAGGGCACGATCACAAGGCGCGGGGATATGATTCAATTTGTGGCCGATGACCTGACAGAGAAAATCAAGCTGAGCAGTCCCAAGTCACAGGCCGGTGAGTGAATTCCACATTCTGATGAAGACATTTTCTTGTATTTTTATTTGTTATAATACAATGTGTTTGTCTGAGTTCTTAAATAAGCCAAACTGTGTCATTGCCTCGATACAAGTTCATCAGCTTAGAGACATAGAATTGTACTTGAGATGTTTATAAAGTTTTCTGTTTAAAAAAAACCTTACAAGTTTACTGGGAGTAGGTTGCTTATGAATAAAGAAAGTGGGAGGGTTTACGATTTGAGAAAGAGAAACAGATTACAATGAGATAAAAAAAGTTTTTTTCATAGCATTAGCTAGCCCAAGGTTTGTCAGAATGAAAATTAACTTGTTACTCAGGGTTCCAAGATAAAATTAAATTGTTGCCATACAGAAATATATTTCAAACATCCATGTTTATTTTAACACTACAGACACATGGACACACACAAAAATGGGTACAAAATTTAATTCCCATATAAATGATTAAGAGATCCTTTGTGCCTGATCTCCTCCTCCCCCCTGCCCCCTTTTTTTCCTTTTTCTTTTCAAATGTGGGCCAAGGAATGCACTAAACATAATATAATATAGTAGCTGAAGAGTATTATGTGAAGAATTGACTGGTGTTTTCCAGGGGGTTGTACTGTGTTCTTAGTCAGTCAAGTGTCTTATGAGACTACCTGATCATGTCATACTTGGACCTACTGCTTTTTATTGTGGTTTGTCACTGAGTGTCTGTCTGCTGATAATATTGCGACAACACTCTTTGTTAGGTTTATGATTGTTTTTAAAACACATATGTTGATATGGAGCGCCTCAGACTGTTTAAAAAAGATATAAAGCTTCACTTGGAAAAGAATAAGAGTTCAGGTGATAATAGTTTGTGTCTTTGTTGTTTTTCTTGTTGTATTTGATAAGGTTCTTTTTTATCAGAGGCTATAGAATTTGGATCTGTAAAATCTTATCGTGTTTAAATTTTTTTAGCTTTTTAAAAACTGAAAGGCTCACTTTTCTTTGATTCAAACTTTCCTTTGATTCAAACTTTCCTGTTCACCTCAATACACAATAACTGACAATAGCCGTGAATTGTTTTGGGACACTTCTGTTTAGTGAATTACAATGGAAATTACTATAATGCAAATGCCATAGCTTGTTATTGCTCATTTATTTTAGAGGGAAGGTTGTCAGGCTGTTTCATTTTCAGTTCCCTTGCGTCTGTTCTGTTTCCCTCTATAGTCTTCTTATTTTATAAGCAGCATTGCATGAATATTCAGTCCTAATTGTCCAAGATGGCCACTTATTGTTGAGGAGAAAAGTGGTTGTGTTAGAGTGGTAGATGTCTTAGACAGTATCATTGTAATATTGTAATATAACCCCCCCCCCCCCCCCCCCCCCCCCCCCTCTTGTAAGATGGAAAGTGAGAAATGGATGTTTGTACAAGTGATTGTCTTGGACAGGTAGCTATTAGGGAAGGGTTCAACTTCTACAGGTCTTACCGGCAAAACAAATTTACCTGTTATTACTTTTGTTTATTATTTTACTTCTATATAAACTTACTGTGAAATGATTTTTTTCTAACCCAAAGTTTAGTCAAATATCATCCCCATTTAGCTTTCAATGCTTCATGGTAAGGACAGCTGGGACTGTCAGAATACAGTGAGTTTTTAACCTTTTGCTGGCATATTTGACACCCTTTGATTGAATACGTCTATAATCTGAAATAGTCAAACATGATTTTTAATGCAGTATTTTGTGTACAGCGTGTTTCGGTCGTCTACAGTAATAAATGTAGTATTTCAGGTGCAATATTCTTTGCATGCTAAGTGTATTTGTAATAACAGTGACTGTGACTTAAAATGCAGCATCACTTAGAAAAGTGACTTAATATTTAAGCCTTATTAATCTATGTAGACCATATGTATTTGTTTCATGTTCAGAGTCTAAATGTGGGTGGTTTGCGGGAGCGTTGGTGTGGTTTGCTCCTTTTTTCCTATCAAACATCTGTCGGCTTAATCTCTCCTTTTTTGTGTTCGTTTCTCTCTTGTAACACCTTAAATCTTTTGCACTTATACGACCTAATTGTATTGCAAGTGCTGTAAAACTTTACTTAAAAAAGAATGTAAAAAATCAAAAGTGAGTCTAAATCTCACATCTTATATTTCTTTGCATGTTTCCAGACTCAGAGAGCCTAGGTAGTCGGCGATCAAGTGTACGCAGTATTGTGTCTGCGTCCTCTTCCACCTCAGCTGCCACATCGTCCGGCATTTCACGCTCGCCCAGCAGCCAATGGCAACAGAGTCCTGATGACATTCCACCTATTGATGTTGCCGCCGTCGCTGAGCTGGAGGGACGGGCGCGGCGCGTGGCAGACAGTCTGGACCTCATGATGGGCAACATCCGTAACAATCTACACAAGGTCAGTCTTGGCTTTACGATTAAGTAGTATGTGTGCTTGTATGATGAGAGAGAAAGTATGTTTCTGTGTGATTTGTTCAGTATGTGCACGTGAGCAAAGATTAATTTTTTTCGCACAATGTGCAGTATTGTCCATTTAGAATTTTCACTTGTACCTCTGTAAAATGTCTAGAGCTGTATTCTCATGGAAGTAGACCAGGTGCTATAAAAATGGTTTATGTTATTATTGTATCATTTTAGGTAATGAGTGAGATTGATGGTGCAAAAACAACAAATATCTTACCGAAGATATTCATTTGAAAATATATAATTGCCATGTTCATTATCTATACATTATAATATTTTTGAAAGTTGGTCACTTTAGCCGCCTAAAACTTCGGAACCGCTTAACTTTTGAATGTGAAAAAATTAATGGTCGTTCAGAATCATTTAAAGGGTGCACAGTTTTACTGAGGGGTCTGAAGTCTTTGTTGTTTAATTTTCTGTTTTTCATTAGTTTCGTTTAGATCTAATCTTAAAATCCGTCTTCTAAGACGCCATTGTAAACAAGTGAGGCTTCCATTCACAAAGAGTGTGTGCTCTAATCCCACAATGACTTGAGGATCAATTCTTTTGAGTCCGTTCATCGAACGGGAAACCCAGCAAGTTTTATATAAGAACACTGTGTCCGTAATATTAATTATTTTTAAGTAAATCTGTAAATAAAGATATTTTTCTTCTTTGTTTAAACCTTTTGCATTGTGCAGCTTTGAAGCTGTGTACTCCCAAAGATAACTATTATTTTCTGTTCGCTATTCCTTTGATACATGCCATTTTGAGATATTTTTAAACAAATGAATTGTCACTAATATACATAGATGTTTATAATCTGGTGAAAATAGACAACAGGACAAACGAGGGCATGATGCTTCAAATTTTTCATTTTTCTTTTGTCATTCACGTTATGGCAAATAAGTAAAGGATGTTTTGACTTGGTGCAAATGTGTACAGGATTTTTTTTTTTTCTCTTTGCTGCTGATCTACTAACAAATTGTCTGTTTTTATGATCAGGATACCTCTGAAAGTCACTGGTAGTAGTGGCATGATTTAATTCAGTGCAATGTTTAGTTTAAATTTAGAAAGAGATAGTCATATTTTAGGGCCTCAGATCAAGGTGTCAATGGGAGAGCACTGTGCATGAGTGAAAGGAACTTTTCTTTATTTTATGGCAGAATTGTAGTCAGCAGATGTATTGGTTGCAGGCATATTTATGTTCTCTGAATGTCTTTTAAGTAGATTTTTGCCCAGTCAATTCATGAAGTGATTGCCTTAAGTTGATTAATCTCTACAGATGTCGGCAATCACAATAGGATGTCAAGAAGCATACAAGCGTTCTGTGGACATCACTTGTGATTCAGTTGATGGAAGTATAAAGGTAAGGAGATAACTTGTGTTTGTGGTAGCCGGTAAAGGCTGTAAAGTTTAGTACTATTCAGCAGGTTCCACACTCTCAACAAAGGTATTAACTTTCAATGATATCCTTTTGTTGATGCATGTAGGACAGTGACAGTTGTTAAACAAGGCAAACTCGTCTATTTTTGTGATGCTCATTTTTATTAATACCTGTACTTAAGAACCTTGTTTCATCCATCAATGAAAGCAACAGAATCAATGGGATTGAACTAAATTGTAAGTCAGAAATTTGATTGGGCTAAGACTAAGAGGTTGAACCATGGATGTAGAAATATGCGAAGCTGAAAATTATGGCTTTTTGTGCTGCCAGGGTCAATGTTTTGTTCAAGAGATTCCTGTTTTGATTGTCAAATGCATTCTCCTAACACAGCTGAACCTGTCCAAGATGAGCATCCTTTGTCGAGGAGAAAAGAGGTCATCTTTGACAGGTGGTCCTCTTGGACAGTGTCATTGTAATATATGAAAAATGCAAGTGGGGAATGGTTGTTTTTACAAAGGGTTGTCTTGGAATAAGCTGACTAATATGTGATTAGAGCAGGTTGGATTGTATATTGAAGCTTCTTTTTCGTTGTGACCTTCAGTAAAAGTCCAATGCTCCAACACTGTGTGGTCCCTGCTCACACTCTCAAGAAAATATGTTCTGTGCAGGTGACTTTCTGATAGGTTGTTAGGGTCTTGTGTACCATTGTCCGCGGGGTTTTATGCACCCCGCATAATTTAGCAAAATTTGATCTTTTTTTTCATAATTTCTGATGGTATTCCTTTACCATTCTTTGTTAAAATTAACACATAATTTCACCCCCCCCCCCCCCCTGGGCGGTGCAACTGACTGAAGTGTCTTTAGGCCATTCCCAAAGGGGAGACATTACCATGTTCTGTTGCACAGTAGAATTGTAAATGGGCTGATTCATCAATGTCATGCTCATAACTCTTCCGAAATTGCAACAGGGAACTGCTGCTTTTTCTTTCCTCCTCCTTATTATCGTCATTTTCCTCTACTTCTTTTGTATGTTTGTCACACTCTTATGACCTGCTATTTCCGGGGTGCCTTGAAAGTAGAAGCAGACTTTGTGCTGTTAAAGCTGGAGAGGTGAGCACAGTAAGCCTGATTCCCTGTAAGGGCTTCTCTGTTGACATCCACCCCTTGGCACTCATATGACCTTATGCAGTTGGGAGCGTCGTAAAACCTTTCTAAAACTAAACTAAAGCATAATTTCACATTTTTGGGCTCAATTTGCATAATTTAATTTTTTTTTCTTTCATAAAACCACGGGGACAGGTACCAGAGCAAATCTCTTCAGCCATTTATTTGTCTTAGGGGTGCTGCACCAAATAATGGTCAATAGCTTTTAGTTTTTTGTGTACACTGTAGAACCTACTCTAACGGCCACCTGTATAAGAAAATCACTTGTACAAATGCCCACTTCTCGTTTCCGCCCTTGCATTTTGTTACATTATAATGATACTGTGCAATACGTCCACCTGTCTAAGATAACCATTGTTTTCCTTGACAGTGGGTGGCTGTCTTAGACAGTTTCAACTGTATTAAAGTGTTGATGTATGTGCCTGTTTGTGTTATCATAAGAAAAGGTTTTAACAGGGAATGTGTTTTGCTTTGTTGAATGAGTAGAAAGGCCAACATTGATAACTGTTTTTATGAACACTTATAAGTTGTGTATGCGTAAGATGAGCTTACTAGATGTATGATCTGCTGTTTTTTCAGGCAATGTACGCCTTGATGGCAAAATGTGAGGAGCTGAGCACATCCATGAAACCAGTTGAGCAGTTGGCAGGACAAATGTATCCTTTGACTCAGTGCTTTTATAACTTTTTTGGCGCTCACTATCTTTGGATGTTGTTCGCTTTTATTTTGTCTTAAACTGCAATTTAGTTTTGAAAGCCAGGGCCCCTTTCTATTTAAAAGACTTTTCATTGAGAGAGATGGTAGGCTTGTAAATTGCTCAGCAGGATTGAGATGTTGTTTGAAAAGATTTGAATTAGACTACTTGCCTCCCATAGTATTTTTTTGAAGCTAAAATGCAAGCATTTCTGGAAAAGATATGTGTATATATTGGTAAAGAGTAAAAGGTTACAACAGTTATTAATGTCTATATGGCTGTGAATGCTGGACAATCACTAAAGACAGTGAAAATAAAATAGAAGCAACAGAAATGTGGTTTCTTGGAGACCGCTGAGAATATCGTGGAAGGAAAAAAAATCAAATGAGGTTGTACTTGATGAAGCCCACATGGGATGCTCACTGTTAAAAATAATCAGGAAACGACAAATGCAGTTTTTGGGACACCTGAATAAACATAAAGGTCTTGAACAACTAGTTCTCACTGGCAAAATTGAAGGCAAACGAGGCAGGGGTAGGCCCAGAGCAACCTTCTTGGGGAATCTAAACAAATGGGTAATGGGGAAAGATCAGGGAAACGTAACTTTTTAAAGAGCATTCGAGCAAAGAAATGAATGGAGAACCATGATCGCCGATATCTGTCGCAGATCTGGCTCTGGATGATGATGATGATTAATGTCTATTGTCTGACTGAACATTGACCGGTATTTGTGTGTGTGTGTGTGTGTGTGTGTGTGTGTGTGTGTGTGTGTGCGTGTGAGTGTGAATGTGTGTGTATATATTTAATGGAATCAGGCTACTTTGGCCGTGAAAGCCTTTCAAATGCTTTGGAAAACCTGATATATGTGTTACCGGTACCTGGATTAAGAATACAGTGGGGTTTGCTAAAGTTTTCTGACGAACTAACTCAAATAACTGCTACTAGATTTTTTTGGGGGGCTTTATGTTCCTGGATAAAGTTACTTGTTTTAAAAGGTTCAGTTCCCGGTTTCAACCAAAGTGGTCAAAAATGAAAGAAAAGAATAGGTAAAACAGTGGCTGGAGAAAGTCTGCATTTTCTATTCTTGTCTATATTCGTACTGCTAAACAGTCTGATCCAGCAGCAGTTTCAGTCAATATTTAATTGCAGTCTTGATGCTTTGATGTGCTAAAGGGTCAAGATATTGAATAGAATATATGAATGAAGGTTAAAAAAACATTTTATAGAGTGTTTCTGTCTGTCTGTCTTACATTTTCCCAGCACTAAATTACCATTATTGTGTCGATGTGCTTCTTTTTACTTAAACAGGGAGGTTGTTGAGAACATATTTTATAGAGTTTGTGAATGAAGGTTTAGAAGTAACTTGGCCACATGTTTTTGCCTTAACCTTTACACAGCAAAGAGATCAAACGAATTCTGGAATTGTTTGAGTCCCAACTAGGCGACTCTTAAAACCAACAGAATCTACATGGAGGCAAGGAGGAATTCTGGCTCACTGTTATCACTGGGAGGGTACAAGCTGCGGTGGACTATTGACAACATCAACATTTCTGGAATGTGCTACAGAAGCATTTACCACACAGTTCGGTGGTAATGAAATCTCTGCCAAGTTTCCGTTTTCTTCTTATTTTTTTCATATTTTGAAAAGTTTGTTTTTTTTCGACTCTGGACTTGGAAGTTTTTCTTTGGACGAGAAGCTTAAGCTCCACTGCAGGACATGGTGCTCAAAAGAATATTTTCTTGAAGAACGAGAAAAGTTTGGATCCGCTCAGACCCAAAGCTCATATTTATTATGTTTATAAGCTTCTGCCTAGTTGTTTGTGTTCTCATGTGCATTACAATTTTTTTCTTCACTATTTTGTGGCACTGTGTATGAACCTTTGTTCTTTTATTAGCAGTAAGTATGTGTGAACCAAGGACTACAATACTATCTGGACGTGCACGGCCAGATTCCTGACTTCGCTAGGGAAGACGGACGCTCAGTGCATTAATACTGAGCTTATTTCTATCAATAGCAGTCAAATATCAACCTGCAGCACAGAAATGTCGTAAATATGAACATATTCAACACCAACAATGACGGCAAACATGTGAGATAACCCCAAAATATGACACAAAGCATTATGACCCTATGATTTCTAGAAGAAATAGAGAGTAGACCGAGAAGAATCAATGGACTTGGCAGCATGTTTGTGTGAGAAATAGGATCAGGCAGGCAGGCAGGCAGGCACAGGCAGGCACAGGCAGGCAGGCAGGCAGGGGCTGCAGGCAGGCAGGCAGGCAGGCAGGCAGGCAGGCAGGCAGGCAGGCAGGCAGGCAGGCAGGCAGGCAGGCAGGCAGGCAGGCAGGCAGGTGGACGGACGGACAAACAGGCCAATGTAAGGCATATTGGCGGAGATTTTTTCAATAGTTAAATCAGACAAACAGACAAATGGAGTTGGCAGCATGTTTGTTGTGTGAGAATTTTTATTAAATAGGTTCTGTATGCAAGAATACTTTTAAGGTTAAACTCACCATGTTCTAGTGTTGATAATCCACGGATGGGTCATGAGTCCAGAGAGAGAGAGAACCGTCACTGGGCTAGTTGAGCTTTCTTGATATATGTTTGGTAGAGTGTTGCATTTTGCTGGTGGTCTTTTTCCAAATTGTGTAGTCTGTGAAGGAGTACATTTGACAAGCATCGAAGGAGGCATTTTGGGAATTCTCCAAAATCAAACTACACATTGATGATGGAGAGAATGTTCATCAGTCTACTTCTGTAACACACTTTGATCCTTGCAGTCTTAAAGCAGCGACAACGCACTCGTTGAAGACATGAACAACATGTTGTACATTTTGTCACTGAAGCCGGGATGGGAAGACTGCAGCAGAAGTCCGTGGTGTTGATTTTAAAATATTATCCTTGTCAACATGGTATAAAGCTTTAACATCAGCGAAAAATCCAATACATTTCATGTCCAGAGACAGTTTCGGACACTTTTAGGAAATCCAGTTATTCCTTATACATTTAAGAAGATGAACAGTGTTGTAAAGTAAAAACCAAACACGACTCATGTAAAGGATGCACAGCCTCACAGTCAGAGCGTCTCGAAAACAGCTTACAGTAATGCTGATTAATCTCATGATTGTCCATCATGGACCCTAGCACTATGCCGCCACATTTTTGCATGACCGTTGCAACATCTTTAACAATAGAAAATTGACGGTCAGTTGTCAGTTAATGCACAGGGGTGACAGACACCATGATACTAGGCCCTTAGGGCCACCATATAAACAATTCATCATGACACAGAGCTTTGAAGATGATTTTGAGTTAGGGTCATTTCGTGACATTCCACTTCACACACAGCCTGAAAATACAACAGTAGGACGAATCTTGACTTTGTCAACTAACAAAATACACTGTTTTTGTTGAGAACGCTTTGCGTTCTGAACTGTTTTCTCAATCACTTTGTCAACAGCAACTGAAGAAAAAATAGACTGAAGCTTACGCTAGGGAGCACAAGAAACTCACGCAGCTGTTCATAGGTACATTTGGGGAACATTTGCAAAACAATAATCCGAGCTGGTGAAATTCTTGTCAGATAACAATTGCAACTGTCGTGTTAGAAATTTTAGTTATTTGTCTTTAACATCACATAGCTCTTGTGACTGCACGCTTTGTAGAGTCTTTGTCTAGAAAGATTGTAGCTGACAACAGAATGGACAGCTTAAAAAGACTGAGAATACAATGAGAGTCCATTGTTTGGATTTAGAATTTTTCCTAAAGGCACATTGATTTCATTCTTGAAAGCCTCCTGAGTAGTGTTGGGCATTAATTGATATTAGCTAGTATCGGGTAATATCGGGTACCCGCGTTCCTTGTATCGATCAATACTCGATATTGATACTGTGATGTCACAAAAGGCTAAAAATAGCGTTTACCGTATTGTTTCCTTGAAGCGCTTTATTAATAGATGAACGGTCAAAGATCACGGTGTACGTCATTCGGCTTACCAGGCCCTACTGCCTGTGTACCCAGTTGTAAGATGCGATCTTTTTTTGTTGTTATTATTTTTGTTTATTGTTTTTTAAAATATTTTTTTAATGCATTTTCTTTTCTTTTTATTTTAAACAAAAAATAAAGTGGCAACACTGAATATAATAACTTGCTGAGATCTGAATGAGGGGAAATGAAAGCATCTTTTAACAAGTTGGTGAGAGGCTTAAAATGTACGGGACAAACAAAAAGTTAAAAACCATTTGGTTGAGGAAGAGGAGCATGTCAACATTTTTAGGGGTTAAATTAGCTCTTCTTTTTGAGATAAGCTCTCCAGCTTTCAAAAACAAACGCTCTGATGAGACAGAAGTTGCAGGAGCAGACAAATACTTTTTAGCCACGCTTGACAGGAGAGGAAATTGCTGACGATTCTCCTTCCAGAAGTCGAGGGGGTTTTCCTTTCTTGGCAGGGGGTCCATTTCTCGGTACTGCCTCATTTCCATGATGGCTTGTTTGTTCCCATGACATTGTTGTGTTGACTTCTGTGGTTGGACAAGTTTTCTTCCTCTTCTTGCAGTGCACTTGGAGGCTGGTTGCAGGTGTGGGTGGCTCATACAGCTTGGCTGCCTCACTTTGCAAATCTAAAGATGTCTTCTCTGCTAGGTCGGCGTCGGTGAAGGCGTTCTTTTTTAACCTAGGGTCAAGAAAAGCTGCTTGCCTCAGCCAATCTTTTTCTTTCAAGGAGGGGAACCTTTTCAGTAGGCCAGCCTTCAGAAATGTCAGCAGGGGTTCTCGTCCACTTGTCGTCTTGTTCAGGCCATTCTGGATGACTTTGACAAGGGGAATAGCCATGCTGATTGTTGTGTTCTTGTCTGCTGACATGCTTTTAGTGGCAAAGTCAAATGGTCTCAGTGCAGCAATGGTGGCTGATATAACTGCGTCTTCCTCCTCTGAAATAACACTGTTTGACTTTCCCAGTGCTCCTAGCATGGCATTCAGTGCCTCTCTTTGGTCCTTCACGCTTTCCAGCATATGGAGGCAACTGTTCCATCGTGTTGGGACCTCTTGAGTCAGCTTTTTTCTTGGTACACCCAGGGTGGCTTACATTGCTTTCTGTAGCTTTTGTGCTCTGGTGGAAAAAAGTTACCACTGATTTCACTTTGGTGACTAGAGCTTTCAGATCCAAGTCACTTTCGATGGCGCCTGCCACGACGAGGTGAAGCTGATGTGTGAAGCACGAAATGTGATACCAAGGCAGCTTCTTTGATGCCAACAACGTGTTTGCCACACTGTCTGAGACAAGAATCCTCACTTTGTCTTCAATTGACCAGTCTCTGCACTAAGCAGTGAAGTGAGTCTTGATGTTGTCTCCTGTGTGGTCACCTTGGAATCAGACAGTTGATAGTGCAAGAGAGGCGAATTTCCATTAAGGGGAAATGAAATGGGCCGTCAAGCTCAGGTAGCTGTCATTGGCTATTGATGTCCACAGGTCTGTGGTAACCGCAACATGTTTTGCTTCTTTCAGTTGTGCCATGATGATGTCCAGTAGCTCAGTTGATATAGTTTTCCTCGATGGCAGGGTGTATCTTGGGTCAGCTGCTGTCATCAGTTCCTTCAATCCCTCGTCCTCCACCATTTTAACAGGTCGCATGTCTTTGCAAATCATTTTGACTACCTTGTCATCGAGAAGTTTCTTCTTGAAGTGTGAAGGTGGGTGGGGCTCTGAATGGGTGCAAATCTGATAGTTTCATCTGCTTTTTAGGTCCTGCACTGCAACTACCGCTGCTGCTACCGCCTTTCTCCTGGTCAATTGCAGCACTTTCGCTTGGATGTTTGGCATGGAGATGTTTCATGAGATTTGTGCTGCTCCCATGATGCTTTAATATGTCGTGACAAACAAGGCACCTGGCCTCTTTGTTTCCTGGAAGCTCTTTAAAATGCTTCCAAACAATGCTCTTCTTCTTTCTCAACATGACAGCCTATTTAGAAACAAAAGACGGGTGATCGTAGACAGCACGTTTCTCTCTGATATCACGCAGATTAGGCGGCCTCATCCTTTCTGTTGGGATCAACGACAAACACTCTCCCACAGACTGACTAAAGTCAAAAAGTTCACCTCCAGTCTGTGGGAGAGCCACTGGGAAAAACAGAAAAATAATAAACTGTATATTATAAAACCCAAACTGGAACAGCGAAATCCTTCGGATCTCTCCAGAAGAGACGGTTATTTTTACTCGATTGCGCATCGGACACACGGCCCTGACCCACAAATACCTCCTACAGGGAGATGAGAAGCCGTTCTGTGTCAGATGCGATACAGATTTTACCATTAGACACATATTAACCGTATGTCTAGACTTTGGAGAGATCCGAAGGAAATATTATAAAATTGGCCTTTATGGCAAATTATAAAGTGAAATTGAACTATTAAAAATTTTTATGTACTAGGAAAATTGTTTCAGATTGAAAATATATATATATTTACACAGATTTTTAAACATTAAAAAAATTTTAAGATCCAGCCACTGACTCGAGCCAGCCGTACAGTAAACTGTTGTGAACAAAACTAACTTGTGTTTCACGCTCTTATGACCATATGCAGTTGCGAGCGCGGTAAAACCCTATACAAAACTAAACTAACTAAACACTACACTCATTACACTGATCAGTATCGACTAAGGGACTCTACGATATCGAGTATGGACTAAGAAAAGAGTGTTGAACACAAGGTAGTCGATATAGAACACTGACTGAAATTCTCTTCCATGAACATGCACACATATTTGGGGTCTGAAAGAGATATGACGAGATTCTGGTACTTTTGTGAAGATCTTTGTCAGGTGAAAAGTCTACAAAGGAAGTGATTTTGTCCTTCTTCATGAAAATTTTGAG